TTTGTATTATGCAACAACGGGTCTTTTTGATTAAGAAATTAATTAAAATTTATACACAAGTCTATAAATCTAAAGCGTATTTCTCACTTTAAGTTGTGTCGAGGAGTGTAAATGCTTAGGAACTCCCGGAAGGTATGTTCAAGAATAAATATTTATATATATACATATGTATATATATATATGTTGCCAGTTTAGGTATGCATTGTTATTTAACAACTAAATAAATGCATTCTTTTATATATTTAATGTTTTGATATATGTATATATATATGCACATATGTGTGTTTGATATATGTATATGTGCATATAAATACATATACATATATATATACATATATATACATATATATATATAATGTAGTACACATATATATATATATATATTACATTTATTATATTTGCCTTGTCGGTTAGCTTAGCATGTCTTCTATACTGGTTTTTTCTTGTGCTGTAACATACTTTTCTATTTATCCATGATATACAGAATAATAAAAAAATTAATTGTTTCCTTCTATAAACATGCTTTAAGGGGAAATAAAATTAATAATAATAATAAAAACTTCAATTTTACATATTTAGAATTTTTTTATGTACGTATGTGTGTTTCAAATGTGTCCAAGAGAACATTTATTTCATTATGCTAAAGGGGATTTCTCTCACTTTTATCGTTACTTCTTAATGAATTTATGTATATTTGGTTTTTATGTTTGTCAGTTTGAGCGCATTTAATGTACTTACATCAAATTTTCTCATTTTTCTTTCTTTTATAATTACAACATTGTTTGGTTTGGTTTCTTTTTATTTTCCTATCTTTACTTCTTTTTCTTTTGATATCTTTTTCTAAATTGTCTATGTCTACTACTTAATTTTTTTTCTTTGTTGTTCGAATTATTATTACTTGAATATTTACAAAATTGTTATAGTTTTTGTTAAATAATCTTGCAGTTATATGAGTTTTGACTTAAAAAAACTAAAAAACAAAAAAAAAAAACGGTTTTTTGGTGGCTGCTATACTTACTTCTAAAGAATGATTGCGAAAATTAATTTGAAACAAGTAAGAAAATTATATTCGGTTGCGAGCGAATCTTTTATACTCATCGCTGTTATCTTAAAAGAGATAAAAAAAAAAAAGGAAAAACTAACTTGCCATACTCTTTATCATTGGGCGGGCGTTAATAATTTTTTCTAATGTTGGGGAATAAAAATATGTTATCCGTGTATGTTGTAAATTATGAATAACAAGCGAAAAAACCGGGAGCAGAGGAGGTCTCATTTTATGTTGCATTGTGGACGGGTGGGTTCTTTGGTAGGTTTGCGTCATTTTTAAACTCTCGTGCAAATTCGAAGGCGACGCCTTCATTCTTACGTACGGGATATTGTTTACACACGTACTACACAGCTGGGCAGAGGGACACATGAACAAACGAACAGACGAATTTGTTTGGTGCGTTTCAAATTTGACATTTCTGAAGAATATGTATACTTTATAAACGTTGGTTCCGGCCATTAAAAATGTTTTGATAAGAAGATAAAAGCTTGATGCATTATAATATTGGGTAGGCGTGACGGAGTTGTGCAATTTTTATGCAAACACTATAGTAGCGCCCCTAGAATACATGTTCAAATTTTGATATGTTTTTCTGCTCTGGTTTGTGAGTAGTGAGGAAAAAACGAAATTTTTTTTTGAGTTTGAGAGAAAATTATTTATTTTTTCTTTTGGATAAAGAAATGTTTTCAGTTTATGTAGTTCTGTAAACGACCCAATTCAATGCCAATCTGGTTGCAAGATCTTCCAATGTTTCTGACAAATTTGAAGCCGATAGCTTCGCTTTTGCTATCAGCAGAATCTTTACAACAAATACTGCACAGACGAGTAAGTGGATAGACGGACAAACGGACATGCTTAAATCAATTCAGAATTTGATGCTAATTATAAACAAGTGTATTTATAGCGTCTCTGAAGCTTCCTTCTAGGTGTTGTAAACATTTTGATAAAGTGAGGAGCAGCTAACCCAGCGAGAAATAAAGTGATTAACGAAGTACATAGGTGTTTGCGTATTTGTTTGCTTGTTTTTCTAGTGGCTTTACTGGCAGAGTCCATAATTCATGCTAATTTTATTTTTTTGCACTATTGCAGTAAAAGTTTGTTAAATAAAAGATCCACTCGGGCATGAGACAAAATAGGTAATTGTAGAAAAATTCTATGGATTGCGTATTGCGCTCAGTCTTCTAACGACAAAATGAATGTGTGTACATAAGATGTGTTCATCCGTTTGTAACGCGGAGAATTGCGGAACCAGGGGGGATTCTAAGTGCATATGCCCTTGATCACCCCAAGGCATTCCCAAGGTATCCTTTTATGATCACCGTAATTATTGAGATTAAAAATCGAAATTTGACGTACATTTTCCAATTTTGTGATCATAGGTCGAGTTTTAAAATGGGCGTAATTGACCTATTGCCACGCCAACAGCAACGAGAAACTATTATTTAATAACTAGTAGATATTGATGTAAAACTTTCTACATCATAGTTACGAAGCCTATCTGAAAGTTCCAGGTAAAAATCGTTCCGATCGGCTGCAATTGGCAAAGCAGTATTCTGTAATACTTGTTGTTGTTGTTGTTCCAAACATTGGGATAATTTAGTTATGACCGTCCGATCGCAAGCCCACCTGTCTATTATTATTTATATGTCGCTATCTTATTTATATTCTTTTAGTTTTATGATTTACTTTTCAACTTTTTAAATGGCTAGGAAATGATTTAAAGATCGGTTGTTCTAATTTGGCATTTCATTTATTCTCGGCTATAGACGAAGATTATATAATACATATTTGAGCTGACTGTCGAAAATATAGTGTGCTATGATAACAACATAGCATTTGGTTTTTGTATTTTCTTTTGTACTTCGGCAGATCTAGAGATCTTCAGTCGGAGACTAAAGAAGAAGAAAACAATTGTGTCAAAGAAATGAAAAAACTACGGTTTAGAAGTTTGCCAGTTGCCGTATATATAGAGCAAAATTGGATGTTAGGTGGATTAGAGGCCATTACCAAATGATCGAGTTTTGGCTTTGAAGTGGATGAAGTTCATGGGCATGGTTCTATTATAATTGAAGCATGTGCTTATACTCGAGGAATGTACAACAGCTGATACTGTTTTTGGTGAAAAACCAAAACTTATAAAAATTCTGCGTTTTCTGTTTTTTAGTTCAACAAAAAGTTTGTTGCATTAGTATATGAGAGGCATGCTCTTAGTATAGTGCACCTAGAAGTTGTGTAGTTGCCAAAGAAAGGTTCAGAGGCTATAAAGTATATACAGCTTGGTTTTTTTCCAATCGAAAGGGCTTCTCTGCGGCCAATCTACGGCATTGAAAAACTTGCAATAGAGTTTGAATGCTGGCATACTTAGACAATTTAAAGGCTTGATTTGGATGCAATTACATAGAAAGCAATTAATAAATTTTGTTAAGCAAAAAAATAGAGGTTTTCTTTAAATAAGTTAATCGCTTTTTGTTCCCATGTGGAATGTGATATACAGTGAGTATTCGTTGCGTCGGTATTCTCGAGGAACAATAAATAGAAATCGCCATAGATTCGACAGGCTTGGAATTTATAATCGCACGCTCAAAACCGCGTTTCAAATTTATATTATAAAGTCTTGATTAATTTGCAAAATGAATGCTCGCGAATGCTGGATGGTGATAATATATGTTTCAAACGTATTGATTGAAAATTCTGCGGCCGTACTCAAAATTCATTGGAGACTTCTTAGAATGATATAAAATTTTTTTTTTAAGTAAGCTTTAGTTCATTCCGTTTGATTGTTAATTTTTTTTGGAAAAATCGCGGCATTTATTTGTGTGCTTTAGATGGAGGGAACAAGAAGAAAATCTTGCCTCTTTGTTAAGGTTAACTTTGATAGGACTGGGTTACGTTATGCCTTTATAATTTATTTTAAAAATATTAATGTTGACAAGACTGGGTTATGTTATTCCTTTAGAAAATATTTTAGATATATGGGTTTTAATAGGACAGGATTATCTTATTCCTTCACAAAATACTTTAGATGTATGGATTTTTTTGAAAACTTCCACAAAAATTTCATTTGACATGTTATTTCAAAGTTCGTCTGACTATTTTAGTGTGTCTTTATTATATTTTCTTTTTTCATGTTGATTGTTTTGTTTATACTGCAGATAAAAATGATAATTATTGTTATGAGGGGAAAACTTTTGTGTCGTTTAAACACTGTAGACCTAAACACTCAGCGAAACGAGAAGCAGCTTTTGTAGTTTTGTTTTTGCTTTTTTGCCCATTTTTAATCGGAAAAATTTTTCTCATCCGAAAAGCGAACATGATGCTGTTGTTTAATACGTGCCGCATCGGCTGCAGCTGCTGCTGCTGTTGCTTGGTGGTATTTTAAAGCTTCATTGCCACCTGAAATGATAAATGTTGTTGTTGCTGTTGTCGTTGTTGTGGTTGGCGTTATGCATTGTGTTTTCTTTGACTTGCCTAATAATTTGTGTACGTCGAACGAATTCAGACGGTTGTCATTCATTGACAAGCCCGTATGTTGTTTGTTTGTCCAGTTGTATCCGTTTCCGGTGACCGCCTCGTTAGTTTCACTTCCGTTGACGAATAGCTTTTCGTCATCTTTGTACCGTGATTGGATTGATGATGTAGGCATATGCGTTGGTAGCGAAGGTGGTGGCGACATAGATGTTGGCGGTGATGATGATGAAGCTGTCCAATGCTCATCACATGAACAATAGCCTCGAGTTGTATCACCTCCCTCTAATGCCAGTAGCTGCAATTCTCTAATTTTAAGCTTTCTTAGTTTTTGTTGTACTTTTCTATTAACGGCTTCTGTTAGTTGGCTTTTGTCTATTGTGGGTGGCAAGGAGGAAGTCGCCTCGCAACAATTATATTGCGGTTGTTGCTCTTCTATAAACTGCTGAACCAGTCTTTGATAGAGTGAACTATCCTGTTCAAAAGCATCTACCGGTAAAGTTGGTGGCGATAACAATGATGATGATGATGATTGTGGTGGTTGTATTGGAGATAGTTTTTCAAAAAATCTATAAAATCACAATATATAAAAACAAACAGATTTTTACAGCATGTTTTTTTATACTTAACTTTAATAAAAATAACTAAAAATTACAAAAATTTTAAATATGAACAACAGAGAAAAGTGTATTTGGTAGTGACCAACTTTTTTATACCTATCGCCGTAATCCTAAAAAAGGCAAACAAAAATAAAAGAAATAAATTTTCATGCTTTATGGCATGGAGAGGGCGCGGCTCAGTTTTTCTATTGTCAAAACAGAAGATTTTTGGCGCATAGGTGCAAGTTTTGAAGACGCGTCCTTTGACAAGTTAAGGTCACATCCGAATTCATTTGCAAACTTGTAGGCGATATCTTCAGTTTTGCTAATGGGAGAATGTTTACCACAGATGCTATACGATTGGGCTGGCAGATAGATGGACAGACGACTGCGCGAACGCATTTAGGCGCATTCCAAATTTGAAATTGGGCAAGAATTTATGTACTTTGTGGAACTTTGAAGCTCGTTTCCATGCGTTATGAAGGTATGAAAAAAAATTAAAATTTGAGATACTGTTATATTGATAGGCGTAGTCAATTTTCCCCATTTTAAAAGCTGCTATGGCATCGCCCATAGCATATGCGTTCAAATTTTTGTACATTTATGTGCTATAGTTGATTAGTAATGAGCAAAAAACTAATTCTTTATTCCTTTTGCGAAGCAGAGGTGTTCTCAAATTGACTTCGAAAATTCACGAAATTTTACTCATTTTACTACAAAGTGAAGCTTTGGGATTGGGCCCGGCCTATCATTAAATATGATACACCAGCCTGTAGGTATTCATTGAACGACTTTTCAAAAGGAGGCTTTATATGGTATATCATCGAAAAAGCGTTCTGATATGAAACATTTCCAATAGCGTTCGGACTTGGGTCAAAAAAGCTCCATGTACCAAATATCTTCAAAATATCTCAAAAATTGCGCCTTGCAGATTGAACAAAGCTAAGCAACGTGGACAGACGAGCAGAAGGTGATTCTGAATCAAGTCTTTTTGAATGTAATATTAAATGGGTGCCGTTGTTTTTTTTTATTTTTAGAATAAAAGTTCAAATCTATATTGTGTATGCGTTGTTTTTTGTGAGTAACAAGCAAAATACTTGTGGTAACCATAGGCGTGTGGTCGTTGTCGACGCGTTCTTTGAAAAGTTTGGGTACTTTCCAAATTCTTTTGCAAGCTTGTAAGCGATGTCTTTACTGCGGATACTACTTATGTGTCCTGTTTTCCAAACAGATAGATGGACACACAAACGAATGTACATGCTTAGGTGCATTCTAAATTTGAAATTGACCAAGAATTGATATAATTTGTAGGGATTTTGAACCTTGCTTTTGCGTGTTATTGAAGGTTTGAAAAAGAAAGGAAATTATGGCATTCTATAAAATTAAGTAGGCATGGCCGATTGTTGTCCACATACTACAGCGTCACCCGTAGAATATACATTCAAATTTTTGTACATTTGTCGGATATAGTTAATGACTAATGAGTAAAAAAACATTTTTTTATTCATTTTGGAAAGAGATGTGTTCGCAGTTTACATAGTACTGCAGGCGTGTCCTTCGATCGACTTGGCCCATTTTAAATATTAATCCGCGCGCAAGCACTTTCAATGTTTGTGCCAAATTTATAGTCGATAGCTTTATTTTTTGGTCAAAAGAATGTTTACAACAGACTACGCAGGCGGTCTGACATCCAAACGGACGTGCTTAGTTCGATTCGGAATTTGATGCCGATCTAGAATATATATACTTTGTAGAGTCTATGAATGGGCGTTGCAAATGTTTTGACAAAATGAATTTACCCCTCATCCTTCGGTGATGCGTATAAAAACAGGAGATATTGCAGAATATAAGTTTCGTCGTTATAACTTATAGCAGATCAACTTTTCGATCGACGGGCTTCTGAGTTATTGGCTCAACAGGCCACTACTGCGCCACTCTGCACACGACTTATATGCTGACTTAGAGTGAATTGATTTTTTATCCTCCACAGTTTGTGATATAGGGTGTATTAATTGTCGGCGGACGTATGTAACACGCAGGATCGCTTAAGATACCACAATACTTTATAAGCACTTTTTGCATGTAAATTTCTGATCAAAACTACAGGTAGCAAGTTTTGAAATGTTTTAATAAGGTATTTTGAAAAGTCATCATATCGAAAGTAATTGCTATTTTCAAAATTTCTCGATAAAAGTGGCAAAAAAACAAAGTTTGGCAACACGACAACCGAGTTACTTTGCCTCGTAACGCTGTTCTTTAAAAAAAATTCGAAAGCAACCTTCAGGTTGTTTTCTTTTTATGTCTGCTAGTGAGTGTAATACGAGTGACTACGAGAATAAGGGTACTGATCACTTTCATGTTTGGTTGGGTTTAAATCGATTGGTGGTGGGTAAATTTTGTAATTCTTTTTTATTTTATTGCTTTAAGCGGCTTTAAAACCTAAACAATTATAAAATTTGAAAATATTGAAATATTGAAATATGTTGAACTTCGCTATTAATTTATATCTACCCTGTTGTTCTATGTGTTGATATCATTTTGGTTTTTGTGACCACCGCTTGATGATCTTGGCAAAAACTGTTTTTCTGGTTTTTTGTTTATTGTTACTTTCCAAGCATCTGCGTCGGCTTGCGCCGTTTGTTGTTTTCTTTTTGTTTACTATGTGCCTGAGAACATTGTGAATATGTGATAAACTTTTTGTTTTTCCACTTTTCATAAGTTCATCTTTTTCTGTTGTCTTCCAACATGGATTGTTTATTTACACTATGTCGAGCCAAAACAAGCCCAACAAATACTATCAATATCTCTCACATAGGAAACTAAGCTAATAAGCCTATTAATTCGAGCAGCGCTCTTCTTATTAGCTACGCTGATGCGGTACGGGCGTTTCTACCTGATGGTCAGATTCAGCCCAAACCTCAGAAAACGGTAAACAAAAGCAGTAAACCTTCCTCTCCCCCTAACTCGTGTCTAGCTGAAGAGCTTCAAGTAGTAAAATAGCAGAGTCACTCTCTCCATTTTTCCCCATCTCGAAATTCCCTACCTTTGACTCCTAATGCTTCAAATACTACTTGTTCTAATACGAGTGTTGCTTTCTTCTTCTTCTTTCTTCTACACTTCAATGTCCTGAAACGTTTCTCTAAAAACTATGCTCTCACAAAGCTTAGCCAATGAAGATATAATTGCGAGCTTTTCAATCCTTTGAGAGTAATCTAAATCTAAATGATGCCTATTACTTAGTCTTAATTTAGGAATCGGAAAAAGAAACTATCAAATCAACTTTCCTAAATTTGAGCGCTTTGCCCATGTCGTATATTCTGAACTCCATACCTTCATAAGATTCAAAAATTGAATTGCATTTTTTCACTATTATTGTTTGCCAAGCTTTTGCATGTTTTGCAATAACTTGGGGGTTGACCTTTAAAAAGGATTTGCGCCGGTTATGGGTGTGCCTCTGTATATGCTTTTTATTTCTTTTTTTCGTGTGTTTATTTATGCAATAATTTTATTCTTTTTATTCTCTTCTTTTTTCTTTAGTTTTCTTTCAATACTTTTGAATTGTTATTAATAACACTTAGTATAAGATTTATTTCTAAGAGCGAATTAAATTCGTCTCTTAATTTGTGTTAACCGAATTTAGTGTGTAGGAAAAATACAAAAATAAACTTAAAATTGCTGTGAAAACTTTGTATTTGAACATGCTAAAGTGATTGAAAAATTTGCATTAGAAGGAGTTGCCATATGACAAAATATATATATATATATATATATTAATATTTTATATTAATATTTTAATTAATAATTTTAGATAGATACTAACTGTAGAAAATTTGGACCACGTAGGCTTATTTTTTGGCCACATTCGAGATGAACGTTCTCTTGAGAAGTAAGCCTTTATATGGCTGAAAGATTAATTTTCAAATATTTCCTGACCAAAGTTGGTTCACGATAGTAATTTGATGCACAAATTAACTGTTAACAATTAACTTCGTATACGTGCTCTTATTCTAAATTCTTTACATAGCGTCTTCTTAATACCATATGACCAAAATACCAGAAGAATAATACGAATTTCTGTAAGGAAATTAATTTTGCCATTGTCCGAATATAATGTTTCTATTTAATTACCCACGAAATTCAGCCACAAGAGAATAACAGTCAAGTTAAGTAGTATCTTAAAAAAAATTTTATGCTTAACTTTAGGATTTAACTGTAAACTATAAAAAAAGGAGAAGAAAAGGAATAAAATCTATGTGTAAATAAACAAGTAAGGGAGAAAAACATATTTCTAGCATTGAGGGGACTTGATTTGGTAGTAATTAAAGAGCACAATATTAAGGTTAAACTAAAGACACCATCTGTCTTGACCAGGAACAAGGGCCAGGGCTCTAAACTGGTTGAAAGGCTCATAGTTATATTTACATTGCCTGAGTTTCATGAAAATAATGTGTATAGACCAACGATTAGGAACATTGAAGTTTATTTCTCCCAAGAAAATTGACGACCCAATAGTAAAATTTATTATTAACTCAACTAAGGATAAGATACTGTTATGAAATCGCTTTTCTAAGATATAGTCCGTATCACTGGATCGCGGATATTCAAAGTTCTTTTTTTTAATACTTTGTCTTTCCTTAACAGTAGGAGTATTTATTTACAATTATATTCCTTATAAGTAGGATTATTCACAATTTATTTAGGCCGTACTCTCAACTTCTATGTTGTTGCCCGACTAACTTTGCCTTCCACAAATATTCTAATTATATGCATTTTTACAACATGTTACTGTACCCAAATTCTAAAGGTGTTTTGGTTCTTTTGCCTTGAATATGTACCTCTAAGGGGTGAATATTAGAGTGTTACATCCTTAAAATAATATGAGTTCATTAGATGTATAAATGAAAGAAAAGAGATTTGACGGCAGGCTTTTTTACCCTTTTTGCCTATATTTTTACACTTTAAATTGTACA